AGACATGGCTATAGCATTTTCATCTTAGTTGGCCATAAGGAAATCTGAAAGCAAATGGGACAAGCCCAAGAAATATGCCCTATCACCAGCAAATGAATATGTTTATTGTTTAAGATATTGGAGGATGGGTGCCCGTTGGTTCTTTTCCATTGTTCCAAAGATTCCCGGGAAAATATGTCAAAAGCAATGAAAGAACTTGGGGAGGGGGGCAGGAAAGTAGGATTCCTACTTGATTACGGAGATGAGGGTCTAGGTCTTGGAAACTCTTGCCCCTATCTTCTGAGTTTGGTTAAATAAGCACAAATTTTGCATGGAGGGAAAGCTGTAGCTCTTGGTATATCTCATTGGTCTTTTTAAGCAGAATATTTCCCTTTGTCTGTTTCAAGACGGTAGACAAAGGGGGAAATACCCATTCACAGGAGAGTATATGAAGGAGCTTGGGGAAAACAGCCTCAATGCAACAGTAGCTTTGTGAATAGAGAGAGAAAAAGCACAGGGGAACAAGTGGTTCTTCCCCTCCTGTCAATGAGCACTCTGTCAAATATTTTGACACAGCCACTTTGACGTTGCATTAATGGCCCCCATGATGTCCCCAGTCATTTTTTGTAAGGAGTGATGGAGAGCCCCATGAGCTTATGCAAGTCTTTATGACCTTATAGTTAAGTGTTTGGAGAAGATTGAAAAAGATATTTTAAACCTTCAGAGACAGGCCATTCTCTTCTTTTATTCCTAGGCCAAAGTTCTTTTTTGTTTCTTTCTTTTGTAATTTCTTTTTGAAACAGTCTCCTTCTGTTGTCCTGGGTAGAGTGCCATGGCGTCACAGCTCACAACCACCTCAGACTCGTGGATTCAGGCAATCTTCTTGCCTCAGCCTCCTGAGTAACTGAGTAGCTAGGACTATAGGTGCTCACCACAGTGCCCAGCTAGTTTTTTCTAATTTTAGTAGAGATAGGGTCTCACTCTTGCTAGGGCTGGTCTCGAACTCCTGAGCTCAAACAATCCACCAGCCTTGCCCTCCCAGAGTGGTAGGATTATGGGGGTGAGCCACTGTGCCTGCTCCAAAGTTATTTTTCTGATGAACAGTCTAAGGGACACAGTGTTTCTTTATGTACGTTAAACAGTTTCCCAAGTGATTCTGAAGGGCAGTCAGTTCTTATGATCATTTATCTTGACCTTGTTTTCTCTTAATGCAAATGTTTCACCATGTGAACTCCTGAAGTTGTGGTTTTTACTGCCCCACCCCAAATCACATGAAAAAAGAAAGCAAGGAGAAGACTTTTGCCTACTTACCTTTTCGTCTGAAACGCTTTCTTAGCAGAGCCAGGAGTGTCCCTCCCATCGCCAGACCTGTGGCAGAGGCCACTGCCCCACCGAAGTAAGTCAGGGCTTCCTGGACAGTCAGTGGTCCTGCTGCAGAACACAGATACACACATGAGGTATAAGAAACATATTATGCAAAAGAACAGTCTTCCTCTTCCAGGAAGGTCCTAAGAACTCTGAGATGCAGGATTAAGTGGGATCATCAAGGGTCCTTGGAAGTCAGAAATGCATTGCAGCAGAATGGGAAGCAGGGCTTGCTTTATTCCTAAGGCTTAGAGGCCAACTCTCATTTCCAATGAAATCAGACTAAGGACCCAATAAAAAGAATTAAAACTGCAAACACAAGAATCTTACACATAGAAGTTTGGGCAAATAAAATAAACTGTGGGTCATTTGTTTTGGCCATCAAAAATCCAGTATGCCCCCAAAAGTCGTGATGAACTGATAGGGAAAAATAGGGGGGAAAAGAGACCAATGTGATACACCTGACAAAGAGATGAGCTGAATGAAGGAAAATCTGAGGGGGGCGGTTAGAGGCAGGTGGTAAACAAAGGTCGTCTGAAATAATAAATGAGGAATCTGTGGGAAATAACTCTCAGTCTGTGACTCTTTTGAAACCTCAAGGTGTGTTACACAGAGATTATGAGGAAGTGAGAGGACTCATTTCACAAATCAGAGCACTGAGAAGGAGTGGTGATTAGCTCCGCAGAGTCGCTCAACTTGGTTCTCACCACCCTGTGCAAGGCAAGAAGATTCTGCCTGATTGATTGTGAAACACTCATTAAGCGTACAGGGGAAACCCAGTGGTGGAAAGGAAGACCACTGAGAAATACAGAGAAGAAACACTGATTTTGCTGTTTTCCGTATCAAAGTGACTAAGCCGTATGAAAAATATACCTTGGCAGGTTGGCACGGTAGTTGACCAGCGGCCGTTCCCTTGGCATTCTGTTCTTGCTGAGCCATTAAGTAGCTGACCCTCTGGACAATGGAAGGTGCAGGTTGCTCCATAGCTGAAGTCACCCCAGAGGCTGGAGCAGTTCATCATTACTGTCTGAGGAACGTGCAGTTCTGAGCATTTGACAGCTGGAAAGAATGCAAGAGAGTGGCATCTAACATGTGGCATGAAGGTGGATGAGATGATGGTTTCATGTGTAACCTGACTAGCATTGCCCATAGATGAAGCAGAACATGAGAACTCAGAAAAGATCCGAGCCACTTCCAATATTCAGGCCAACTTTCCCAGCATCACACGTTCTAAAATGCCCAGTGGAAAAATGAAAGCCCAAGAACTGGGACAGACACATAGTAGCATCAGATGAAGCCCTGCTACAGGATTGATCTATCTGCCTCCGAAAATACTCTTCATGAAATTTTTCTTTCCAAAAATGCTGTTATTCTAAATGTTATTATTACTGCACTTGTGATCAACTGGCATGTTGGTGTGTGTTTATTAAAATACATAATAATAAGTGCTCAGCATATCTGGACCCTAGAACTTTGAAGGAAGTAGAGACATCATCCTTTTTACTTTTTCAGAGAACTTCAGGTTGTTGTTATTTATGGATAGGAAATTGAAGCTCAGAAAATTAACCTTAATTCAAACAAATGTTATTGACCAATAGTGACATTTGCAAAGCACTGTGGCTTGCTTCACGGGGGATACAAAGATGAAAGAGATAGAGGACTCAGTGCTTCATGTATACAGTGATAGCTATTCAAGAGGTATCACACATGGCTTAGCTTTTTATTTAGGTCCCAATTATGATAAAAATATGGAATTTGTATACTGTCAGATGACTATCAGAATTGCGATCGGTTATTTATCATTTCACATGGCTGGTTTCATGTTTAGCATGCTTATTGTTCTGACACATTTTGGACATCTGCAAATGTTTCCTCCTTCAGGTCTTAGAGCACCAGAGCATTAGCTTGTGACATGAGGAAGGGCAGAGGTGAGGGGCCTGCTGCACTTTACTCCTTCCTGGGACTAGTGTGGATTTCCCAGAGGAGCTGACACTTGCGGTGGTCGGTGGTCGTTGTGGCTGGGAGGAATTTCAACAGGCAGGTGCAACGGCTAGACTGAGAACCTGCAGAACTGCCCGCTGCTCTCACGTTACCTCTGCAGGCTGGAGTCACTGCTGTCCATTGTCCTGAAGGCCTGCAGCTCAGAGTGCGGTCTCCCACCAGGGTGAAGCCGGCTTTGCATCCAAAGTGACAGGTGCTATTCAAACCAAAGGTTTGCAGATGATGCCTGCAGGACATGGTTCCCTGCTCGGGACTGGTGAGAGCTGGGCATCGAACCTCCCGAGCGGGAACAGACGCTATACCTGTTGTGAGGAAATGCTTCACGTTACAGAGTTCCCAGTGAAAGGAGCACCACAGAGCGGAGGTGTCTTTCACTCCTTCCATAACAAGGGAGGCTCTAGTGACATCTATTTAAGGAAGTTAAAAACTATTAATCTCAGATATAAAAAAAAGATGAAAAAAATTATTTGAAAGGTCCTTGAAGAAATGATTCTCCAGGAAAACAAACTGAGGATCAATGTTACTGATATTTTTTAAAAAGGCAGAAATTCAGTGGAAAGCCAAATAGACATGGGCCCATTGCCTGACCACTCTTGCTTTGTAGGGAGATGGCAGTGTTCTTTGGCCAAAGGTCAGCATGAAAGGTGAAGTGTGAATGATGCCACCGGCTTTGTCAGTCAGAGGCCACATGGCAGGAAGATGATGGCATCTCTGCATCTCAATTCCTTGATTTGGAAAATTAAACTAGTAACTCCAACCTTTTGTACTTTCTCTTGGTAATAAAATGATGGAGGCCACTCCACTGGCTCAGTAAAGCTTTTTAAGAGGCCAAGACTATGAAACCAAACTTCTGCTTAAGAATCGACATATCAGCAGAGCCCATAGCTCAGTGGGTAGGGCGCCGGCCACATACACCAAGGCTGGCGGGTTCAAACCCAGCCTGGGCCAGCTAAAGCATCAATGACAACTGCAACAAAAAAATAGCTGGGTGTTGAGGTGGGCCCCTGTAGTCCCAGCTACTTGGGTGGCTGAGGCAAGAGAATCACTTAAGCCCAAGAGTTTGAGGTTGCTGTGAGCTGTGATGCCACAGTACTCTACCAAGGGTGACATAGTGAGACTCTGTCTCAAAAAAAAAGAAGAAAGAAAGAATCAACAACATATCTTTGTTTATAAACATAAAAGTCCCATCACTCCTTAGAAATTTGTTAATTCCTAGGCTGTGTTTGTTAGACCCAAGTAATAGTATAATATATACCTGTCACATATAAGAACTATATAGGTGTTTGTTATTGTTGTGGAAAAATGTTCTGGAAGTAGAGCTTAGATTGTTACCTTTGCAGGTTGGCAGAGGTGCTGACCATCTTCCGGAAGTAGTGCAATCCAGATTGTTGTAACCTTCCAGCTTAAAGCCCTTGTTACAAGAGAAATGGCAGGTGGAGCCAACTTTGAATTCTCCTTGTGTGTCAGAACAATCCAGGCTGCCCTGCTCTGGAGCAAAGAGTTCTGGGCACTTGATAGCTGGAATATCAAATCAAGAGTGTCACAAACTCCAAGTTCGTTCAGAAGTTTTGTTACACAAATTTCATTCATGTATATACTTAACAAATATTAGTTGGCATCTAGTTTATTCCAGGTTTTGCTAAAAGGTGGTTATTTCACGTGTTACATATTTCTTAAATAACATATAAGGTAGGTTCTTTGCCACTGAGGGCAGTGGCAGGCATTGGGAACTTGCAGAGAGAAGTATAGGCGGAGGTCACAAAGATAAAGCCAAAGACTCTAGGAGCCACACTCAAGAAGTGACAGTGCCATTCTATTTTCTCCATACCCTCTGCTCCACGGAGCCTCGCACAGCCCCACTATCTTATCTGAATGGCTGCAGTCCACGATTTCTCTTCTACCCTTCCTCTTGCCTGAGCCTTCTTCCTCTTAGATAGCCTACCATCTTCTCAAATTCAACACATCTAAAACTGCAATGATCACTTTCTGTCTCAAACTATTTCCTCCATTTGAATCCCCAGGCTGGTTTTTTTTTTTTTTAATACCACAGCTCCATAGCACAGGAAAGCTCAAAACCTCCCAATCAATCTAAATTAGTTCCTGGAATTCCTTAAATGGACTTCACTCATTCTTGCTTCTGGCTCTTGGCTCACACTACCCTGAATTCTCTTCCATTTCCACTGGACTAAATCCTACCAGTTCTCTGCTGATCACTGTTGAACTTGTGTCCCCTGAACGCAACAACTTCTGTTTGAACTCAGATGTTGTCACATCGCATATCATACTTTCCTTCTTCTACTGGACAGAAAGTGTCTAAAACCCAAGAACCATTAATCTTTGTGTCTCTCATACTTCCCATTTCAGGATCTGCTCAATGATCACTTGCCAAGTGGATTAGTAAGTAATTTTTAATTTACTAATCAGTTTCCTCCCCAAATTGGTATTATAAACTACAACAGTTACATATTTTTGTTAGCATGGTACCTTTCTCCCCCATTAGATTCTCTGACATAAGGCTACTATTCACAAACAAATACTGGATCATTAACAGACTGAGTGACTAGTCTTTTTTTTAAAGCCCTTGCTATTCTATTATTTTAAATCCCTTCGTCAAATAAAGCTTATTTTGCTTGGCTATTCTGATTGTTAAAAACTTCTTCAAGTCTTATGTGCTGCCTCATGAAGAAGTGCTGTACCACAGTTGGCTTTTCTGTGCTGGTTCATGTGATTTGCAGGGACAGATTGTTCACTAAAGGGTCATATACTCTTATTGCATGAATCCATTCAAATAGCCAAAGTAACATACTGAATTTCAGTTCAATATTCTCAAATTGTTGACTAGTAACTCCCTGAAAATTAATTTCACTTACCAAATATTTACCAAACATGTCTATTGATATAAGTCCTAGATGCCAAGTCATCTGTAAGCATTCACTAAAATAAATTTTTCAGAATTTTTTCAGAATTTCCCAGGATTACGTCTTTAAGCCCCAGAATCTGCATAATATCAGGTGCATAAAAACAGGAACTTTGCTCTTTCAACATTGGCTCCCAGGGAATAGGAGGTTCTAAATATTTGTTAAATAAATAAATAAAGGAGTGCAATTTAATTTAGATGCATTCTAATATGTGTTTTTATCTGATTTGAAAAGGAATAAGAGGAGTTATTATTCAAAAAAAATTTATTGAGCTGATCTCTAGTATAAAATGACCGTAGGACTAACTTGAAAGGTATTACAAAGTTACAGATTCAGACTTTTGTATTTACGAAATTCTCTGAACCCTTTCAGGTATAGATTAACCTAGCGACTGTCCTAGTCCAGCCAAAGGTCTTTACATAACTTTAAGGGCTAGACTTGAACTGTGTAAGGAAGCAGGTTTTCCCATTTCAGAGGAAGTCTTTGACGAGAAAGGCTGAGTCCTAACCCAGATCTGGCATACGGTGGACTCTCAGAAAACATGGGATGAATTCAACGTATGGAGTTAGCACTGATGGGGTGGGAGTGGTGGGGTTTTGTGTAGAAAAGGTATACACCAAGCAATGATTTCTGTGTGCGACTTGAAAAAGTGATTATTTTTTAAGCTTATTCTAGATTTTGGAAAATAAACGAAAAACTATAAGAATAGAAAGCAGATAAGTGTTGCTTTTATTATATGGTTAGTGCTCTATTTTCACTGACTTCCAAGGCAGTTCTGTCCCATTGGGGTCTTCATGGGTATTTTTCTGTAACCTATTAAGTAGGTACACATGACGGCCTGTAAATTCATGAACATCTTGGTTTGTGTTATTTTAAGTAGCTTTGGTACATTCATATCTGTTTCTTCTTATTACCTCATGTTACTTGGATTGGATCTAGTTTGCTCAGTAACTTCCTAGAAAGAAGATATAGTATAAACAATAAATGTCACTGAATTGGCTATTTTAAACACAAACTTTAAAAATAAAACTAAGAATCCCCGCGGAATCAGAGAAATGTTGAGAATGAAGGAAAAAAGAAAGCCGTGAGGCAGGCCAGAGCTTGGAGGGTTCCGGTTTGCTGTATTTTAGGATGTGGATCAGCAGGAGCAGGCACAAATGTAGAATGGGGTTGGGATTTGGAACCAGGATTACCTCTCCCAACTCACGGGGAGGATGGACACTAGAAGTTGGGCCCAGCAGCCAGACATGGTCTTCAGAGGGTCAATAATAGAATGTTAAGTGGTTAAGAGATCAGTGGTCTTTATCACCAAAGTGACCAAACAGGCAGGGATAGGAAGGACACAGTCACTGGACACGAGCAGTCCAGCATGTAGATGGCATCGTGAAAGTTGGTGGAATAGCCTTCCTGGAAGGAACTTCAGGCCCTGGAGAGTGAAGGCAGAGAGGATAGTGGATGTTGGCCCTCTGTATCCGTGTGTTCTATATCCATGAACAGAACCAACCCCAGATGGAAGACATTTGGGGGAAAAAAATTCCACAAAGTTCCAAAAATCAGAGCTTAAATTTGCCATGCACCACGTGCTACAATGAATCCACGTGAATGAAGTGATGTGTGTGCATTCTGTTAGGTGTTACGAGTAGTCTAGCAGTGATTAACTATATGGGAGGACTGCAGGGTTATATGTGAATATTGCACCATTTCATTCTGCATACAGAACTTACGGATCTGCACATTTTGGTACCCAGGTGGGTCCAGGAATCAATCTCCTGTGGATACCAAGGAACAACTGTATAGGAAGAACCCAAGTCTCAGAGGACCCAGGGGGTGGGTGTTCTAACTAAAATGGAAATATTTGAGGAACCACCCTCCAAAATGAAATTTTGCATTGAACTCTTCAGAGAAAGCCTGAGAACTCCACCTGCCACATTGCCCCTGCTTACTTGGTGGTCCCTAAGCCCCTCTGATGTAGCCAGGACTCTGCAAAACAATGTGTGAAGGTCAAGGCTCTAGAGGTAGTGCTGAGGCTTAAAAATTCATGAACTCAGGCATATAGGAAAAGAGGAAGCATTTGCCTAAATCTGGAGAATAAATTTGGAGAATGAGATAGAAACACTGGTCTGAACACCAGAGTGTAATATCAGGATCAGACATGGCTGACAATTTGGGGCTTCAGTGAGCTGAAGCTGCCATCCTTCGTAGGAGTTAGTTCTTGCCACTGGGCGGGGGTGGGCTTGCAAGGTGGGAGGCAAGTTTGGAAAGGAGTGAGGGGAGACAGGGGCTTCAGAGATTTCAACCATGTTGGTTGCATCTATTTTAAACATGAATGAGATTGTTAAGGGATCTTTGATTCTTTAGCCTTAAAATAGAACCTGAGAAAATAGAGGTCATGATAAATTTCAATGGAATAAATGAATGAGAGCATGAGAAATAAATGGATGGACAGTAAACACAAGCCCTAATGTTGTCCCCCTAAATGTTCTAGATTCCTCACATGGCTTATAGTCTATCTTTCTGACAGCAGCAGGCAGCATTTTATGTCTTTTACTCTACAGAATTTTTGACTGGTGAAGAAAGCTCAGGGATGATCTTGCCCACTGCTCTCCTTTTGGAATTGAGAAAACTGAAGTGTAAGGGTGTGAATAGGACATTCTCAATGGCGCGTGACTCAGGATAGGAATCTAGCACTCATTCCGCAAAAAGGAATAAATAATATTTTAGCTATTTTCAGAAAACACTAGTAGATTTCCTCCAACGTATTCTCTCAGCTGATCACCAGGCGTTGCCATTTCTAAAGTTCATCTTAGCAGTTACAGCTGCCATCTGTGCAGCAGGAAAGAGTAAATTCACAGGTGGTTGCCCCAGGGTTTAGAAGCTCTGCCACTGGGTGGCAGTGTAGTGCAGCAGGAAAAACCGAAGCCCTAGTCGGACAAGCCTGGATTTGAAACCTGACTCTACGCCTCCTTGTAATGTGACCTTTGCCAGCTACTTATCCTCTCAAAGCCTCCATTTCTTCACCTTTAAAATGGGGGCAACACAAATAACCATCTTCAGGGTTGTTTGTGTGGACTGAATGTGATAACATATCTGAAAAAGCTGGTCCAACATACACAATAAATACATACCAGCTCTTCTTGCTGGTCTCATTATCACAGACTGACTAATACTCTGAGCAATTAACTGGAACAGTGGTGACTTTTGAAAATAAACATGAGCTACGAATGGATTAATCAGTGCGTTTCTATTTTAGAACGTAGAATGTGTTGGGTGCTTTGCCAGCAAGAGGCTTTGGGGCAGTTGAGGACAGGTGAGGTATTTGGCCCTGGCCGATGAGGATTTCCCCGAGTTCACTGTCAGCAGAGCTTGGGCTTGAGTAAGTTTTACTGGTAAATGATAAGCTTCATTCAACAGATGGTTGTCACACATCCACTTGTATTCTGTCTAGTTGCTGCCAGGGATATAAAGATGGAGAAGGCACAGCTCCTGCCTTCCAGGAGCTTATAATCCATATAGAAGTATAATAATAGTCACACTAGGATTGAATCACATCCATCCCTGAATAGCTCAGTGTCTGAGACTCAGGAGTGCTCAGTGAAGGTGAGCGAAGGGATGAATGAATGAACGAATGAATGATATATGGACCAGAAAGAGACTTTCTAAGGAAGTGAAAGTTCCACTGGCATAGCTGAGCTTCATCACTTATTAACGCTGTGACCTTGGACAAACTACTCAACCTCTCTGAGGCTGTGTTTCTTTCTCATCTATAAGTGGAGGTGGTACCGCCTTCCCTCATTATCTCAGAATTGTGGTAAGCATCAAACCATAGTGACACTGATGTGCACTGCATAAAACTGTGCAATGTTTAATGAAAGTCATTAAAAGATTATTCAGAGAGAGAGAGGAAGTTTTGATAAGATGACCATGATTTGTGGTGAGCATGCTATTTGTTTTAGCACATGTACGCTTTCATACCTGCAAATCCTCAGTGATTCTCCATTCTACAATGTCATCTGAAAAGTCACGACAAAGGACAGACCCAGGAGCCTACCTTCACATTTCGGTGGTGAGCCTGTCCAGTGTCCAGATGGAGTACAGTCCAGTCTTTGTGGTCCAGATAAAGAAAATCCCTCATCACAGATGAATTGGCATGTGGATTTATAACTGGAAGCTCCAAGAGGTTGGACACAGGTCACTGTTCCGTTCTGAGGACTTAGCAACAGTGGGCAGCTGATGGCTGTCATGAGCATGGCAGAGGAGGAGAGAAGAGATGGGTTTAGAACTTGGCAAACTGAAATCAGCAGGGTGTGTGTGTGAGAGAGAGAGAGAGAAGGAGAGAGAGAGACCTCCTCAATATACAACAGCAGCCTTTGGCTAAAGATAATTGTTCGAATCTCATGATGCTTTATCACCAGTTAAAAGTTATGGGGTGCAAAATAGCAGCAGATTAGAGTTGATTAATATCTTGTCATAATCTCTCACAAACAGCCTCAGAGGTGACTTTGAAAGGAAGCTGGGGTTCTGTTTGGGAAGACAGTGGTGTGACTCATTTCAGTTGCTCTTGGACGGGAGTGGAAGGGATTGTTCCATTGTTGTCTTCTCCAGAAACGAGCCTGATGACCTTACCAGAAAACAATGCAAACAGTGAATGGAAATGGAAGAATGGAAATGGAGTCAAATACTTTCTCCTCCTTTCCCTGACGAGGTGGTGGGAAGAATCTGTGGAAATTCAAGCTCTGTTTCCTACAGCAACACATCTCAGGACAACAACCTTCCTGAGCCTTGGTTATTTCTTATTGGACATGGGGAAAAGTAGAACCCTTGCCTTGTAAGTTAATTCAATCATGTGTAAAAGATATAATAAAAAAAATCATGGACATACAGTAGGTACATAACGTAATCAGCTGTCTGCAAATGCCAGCCACAAAAGACTCTACTTGGTTCACTTACAAAAAAAAAAAATTAAATTAGGTTTCATAGGTCTTTGCCACAGTCTATACATGTAGAGTTTGAAGTGCTAGGGAACTTGGCTGGGTCAGAGATCATCCTGTGTGACTTTTAGCAAGTCACTTAACCTCTCTGGGCCTCAGTATCTTCCCCTTTAAAATGGGGAGATAGCAATATGGAGCTCCAGGATTTTTACTCTGATCAAAAGCAAAAACATGCTGCATGCAAATGTCAACAGCTGTGAAGATGTTCCTCTGTCAGTTAACAAACAATACAGCCCAGATGAAACACACTGATGTTTAAAAGTGAAGACTTAGTGGTCACCTGGTTTAGGGTATTTCTTCTCATTGTTTGACCTGGTTGAGCCAGGTATGGCTTTAGACCAGAGACGGTGACAGTATGGCTGTCCAGGGGGCCACTTTTTGGCTGCTGACTGAAATGGGCTAAAATTTTAAGAGCACCTTTCTATTTCATTCCTTCACCTCTCCTGCTGAACTCCCTCCAGTCTGATCAGCTTGTGCAAACACCTCGTTATTTTCTGCCACTTGAAATGTCTTTCTGTATTAAGTGTGTGTGTGGAGTGGGAGAGGGAACAGTTTAAGAAGCCTGTGAACTGTAAGGACGGGGGAAGAAGGGCCGTGAGTGAGGACCTCGGGGCCATGAAACCCATTGCCAGCTCTTTTGTGGCTTTGACTTCTGCCAGCAGGGCGGGGTGCAGGGAGCATTAAAAAGGGAAATTGTCTGATAACACACTCTCAAAAGTGTCACAACATGTAGTGGATTGCAAGCCTCATGGCACCTTCCTGCCCAGCCCACATTTCGGTATTTCGCTTGATGCCTACCCAACAATAGGAGGAGAAAGTTCAGTCGGAGTAAACAAAGAGCTAAAAGCAGAAGGGAACTGGAAGGTCACAGGAAGCCGTGGTGAGTGGCAACCTCCTTGCTATGAAACGCCCCGGACAGTATGGAGAGATGAACTGTAATCTGTGCCCTGCGTGACCAAGGGTTGCCGGGACAAGTTCTGATCACTGTGATAGCCCTCCTCACCGACACCCAGCTCTTCCCAAAGGCTGAGAAAATTTGTAATGTACCCGGGCTTCAGTGTAGTCAGGATGAGCACAAAGAGGGCAAAGTCACAGAAGCACCCCGTTCTCCCAGACCCAGCTCTGAAGATGCACCCAAACCCAATTCCAGTGGCCTGCCAGACTCTGATGCTAGGGGGTGGACATCCAGTTCTGCTGGTTCATTCATCCATTCATACACTCACTGTTGACCTAGCTCACCAGGGAGGTCTGTGCACGTGTGTGCATGCTTGTGTGTGACCTAAATAGCAAGTGGTTTCCTCTTCATCAAAAATATCTATCTGCCTGATTCCACTCAGATGTTGAAGGTCTGTACAAAGTGAAAGGCATAGACATGGCAAATACTGTAGAAATGTCTGGTACTTTACCCATTTAATTTTCTTACTAAAAGTGTAAATTTATCATAAAATACCGATTGCATAGAGGGGAACGCGAGTGGGGAAAACATTGGAAGAATTCATACCAGGATGATGTTCACAGTATCTGTTTTAGGGTTAGAGTATTTAACAGAATAATTTTTCATTTCTCGATTTCCTAATTTTTCTGTAGATTTTGTAAATGAGAATAGTGCTTTTTTTCTTCTTTTTTTGAAGAAAGAGTCCCACTCTGTTGCCAGAGCTAGAGTACAGTAGTGTCACCATAGTTCACTGCTGCCTCAAACTTCTGGGCCTTCTCAGAGTCTCAAGTGGCTGGGATTATAGGTGTGTGCCACCTGCCACCATGCCTGGCTAGTAGATCTTTGTAAAGGCAACATTTGCTATAAATGTAATAAAGAGTTTACTATACTAAAGGAAAAAGAATGCAAAATAAGAAAACACACATCTATCCTTCAGTTGACAAATAGATGAGAACCAGTTCTATTTCATACAGGATGCTACCCCATGGACAGAATACAGTGGCTTTTTTATGTCAAGTACAATGCAGGTAAATTCTTACACTGAATCTGAGAATCCTATAACCTCTAGTCCATAAAGTAGTCTTATCCTCTTCCTGTCACTCTCCACTTTATCCTAAGTGGATATTTCTCTACTGTCACTCAGATCTTGGAGTATATCTGCAACTAGGACATATAAATTCAGCCTTCCCCTGCTCCCTGTTATTATGCCCCATTGTTCCTCAGAGTAAAGTGTCATGCCGGTCTTGGGACAACCATCTGAAGCAATTTTTGTTCTTCTGGTCTTTTTTCCAGATGCTATTTTTAGCCAGCTGAGAACAGTTCACTGGATTAGTGACAGGAGCCTTCCAGTCCTGGTCCTGATAAAGATAAAGACCCTGACAAGGAGTTAGCAAGGGCCTTTCCCTGTGGCCATTCCCTCTGCCTAGTCCCTGAAGACATTTGCATCTGGGGTTCTTCAGTTATGGGACGAAAGCATGAGTGAGAGTATTTATTAATTTCCCAGTCCAGTTCAAGGCAAACTCTACAGTTACCACCTTTAAAACACAGACTTTTAAAATACTGTCTATGACTACATCTAAGCTGCTAGAAAGAATGGGCTCTTACCTGGGCATTCTGGAGGAACAGCACTCCAGCTTCCGGAAGCCAAGCACTGTAGCACACTTTCCCCCACCAGGTGCCAGCCTTCGTCACAGGTGAAGCTGCAGGTTGACTGGTACCGAAAGGCACCGAAGGGGTGGGAGCAGTTCATCTGAGCCTTGCTTGGAACTGGAAGATCTTGGCACTGCAAAGCTGAGTGATGAGAAAAGAGCAGTAAAGAAACAGGAATACAGGTGTACTCATTGATTCGGACCCGGTAGCCCTTTCTACTACCAAGAACAGGTAGAAGAAAAATGAGGCTTCCTTATCTTGGAAGATGAGAGGAAGGTCACTTAGTTACAATGGCACATCAAAGAGTCTATTAGGAAAAGCTAAATCATTATTGAGCCTTTTGGCAATGTGTGTCAATAATATTTACACCCGTACTTTTGGGCTCAAGAATCTATGCTAAGTATGTAATCAAGATGCATATGAAAGTCATTTCAGAGTTTTGTGTTTTGGCTTTTTTTAGACAGAGTCTCGCTTTGTCACCCTCAGTAGGTTGCTGTGGCATCACGGCTCACAGCAACCTCCAACTCTTGGGCTCAAGTGATTCTCTTGCCTCAGTCTCCCAAGTAGCTGGAACTACAGACACCGGCCACAACACCTGGCAATTTTTTGTTACAATTGTCATTGTTGTTTTAGCTGGCCCAGGCCAGGTTCAAACCTGCCACCCTCGGTGTATGTGGCTGGCACTGTAACCACTGTGCTATGGGTGCCAAGCCAATTCAGAAAATTTTTTTTAAATTAAGACATTAGTGTAAGAACAACATACAGTATGGAAAACAAATAGAAATGCCACTAATGAAAGTCAACTATGCTGAGTCCAGGAACGAGATATTAAAGGTCATTAAAAATGATATAGTTTGCTTTGGAAAGCTGTAAGAGGTATCTCAATGAATAACATTAAATGAAAAAGCAGAATTAAAATTTTAATATGTTAGTCTGGAGGAACAGCGCTGCAGCTCCCAGGTCTCAACTATATAAAAGAGATGATAATATGTGAAGCACGCCTTTCCTCACCTGTAACTCACCAGTTACAATGGTAATAATTGTAACTATCTCCTAGGTCAGACTAAATGAAATCCTAGAGAGTGCTTAATAAATATTAGCTGCTATTATTAGTAGCAGTAGCAGCGGTGGTGGTGGTATTAGAAGCAGCAGCAGCAGTAGCAGTATTACTGAGGCTGTCCATCAGAGGTAGACCTTAAGGGCTAGAAGGGAGTTACTCAGTCCACAGCTCTGGATGCTTAAGAGACCGTCTAACTGTCTGCTCTGGACAATTAGCCATTTCCTTGCCTAGAGAGAAGAATGGCTCAGGTGATCCCTGATGCTTCCTTTTAAGTACATCTAAGGGCTCTTAGAACATCCACAGTATATCCCATTGCCCTCACTGGGTCTCACCAGCATGGTGCACGGCCGTTTATTCTGTCATGACCTTTTTTGTTCTGTTTTTTGATATTTTTATTATGGCAAATACAGAGAGCATAACATTTACCCTTTACCATGTCACCAATATTAAGCGTACAGTTCAGTGGCATCAAGTACATTCATGTTATTGCACAAGCATCACCACCATCCAGCTCCAACATCCTTTTCATAATCTCAAACTGAAACTCTGTGCCCATTAAACCATAATTCCCCTTTCTCCCCTCCCCCCGGCCCCTGGCAGCCAGCGCTCTGCTTTCTGTCTCTGTGATTTTGAGGAACTCTTAAGTTCCTCACTTAAGTGATCGTATAGTTTATGTGAGTGGCTTGTTACACTCAGTATAACGTCCTCAAGATTCATCCATGTTTGTAGCATAGGTCAGAATTTCCCTCCTTTTTGAGGCTGAATAATAATAATTACATTGTACGTGTTGCCATATTTGACTTACCCCATCATTCACTGATGGGAATTTTCATGCTTCCTACTTTAACTATTGACTAATGCTGCAAACTCAGGCGTACAGCTATCTCTTCCAGACCCTGCTTTCAAACCACGGCCTCATCTTAAAATCAGGTATACATGGACCAAGGAGAGTCATGTACATTTCCCAGGGTTCTGGTAAACAAGAACATAAAATGTCCAAACTGTACTTCTGGAACTTGACTCCTAATGCTAATGACTCCCCGGTCTTGGTTCTGTAAGAGCCAAATGTTGAAAAGCTGAAATACTGAAAGAGGATCATTTGTCACATCAAATACCTATGATTTATTAGGTAATATTATCCTCATCATTATTTTCCCTATAAAGCTTATGGGAGTTTTAAAGTTGCTTCTACATATATACATGATAGGGACCAGGGAGATAAGGCCCCCCTGTTTTACAGGAGACACGGAGCCGAGCCTCAGAGGGGCCCCAGTTTTACTGACAGGAAATGACAGAACTGGACTAAGCACCTTGCCCTGCACTCTCCCTTTCCCCTGCGTTGCTTAGGCCCATTGGCTCCTCCCACCACAGCCCCTTCCCGCCAGTGCAGCCCCACGTGTCAGTGGTGCAGCCCTCACCTTGACTATGGTCGCATTGTGCCTGGGCCTGGCTTTGCCCACCCCTTCCTCCCTCCTGCCAGGCACACCCAGGGCCAGCACGTGCTAGGACTTGGTGCAGGTGCTGACACCTTTGATGAGCTGCGACGCACAGAACATTACGACTGTCACGATACCTTGACAAACAGGGGCTGGCGCTGTCCACTGTCCCGAGTCAGCGCACTGAACTATGTCAGCTCCTCTCAGCTCGAAACCCTCAGCACAGCGGAAGCTACAGCTGGTGTTGTGCCGGAATTCTCCCGAGGATGGCGAGCAGTCCATGCTTCCGTGGACGGGACTCCCCAGTGGCTCACACGAAGTGGCTAAATAGAAAAATCCCCTTCTGTAACTGGGTAACGGAAGGGCCCAGTTCTTCCTCAGGAAGACCTCCCTGGGATGATGCATTTTTCCTACCCGCATTGTCAGTGTGTTGAGAACCCCAAATCTTTCATTTTCCAAAGGGAAGCTGCCTGGCGCGCCTTCGCAGGCCCCTCTTTCCCTGGTTCACTCTCCCCGCCTCTCAGGTCTCAGCCCAGCCTTCACTTGGGAAGCCCTCTCTGGGAGGAGCTTGGATGGACGCAAGCCCATCCCAGTTCAGGGGTGGGAGCACCTCCAAACTGCTCCCACAGCCCCTCTGTTCTTCTGTTACTATTCATACGCCACCGTCACTCTTTTTCATTCCACCCCAGTCTCCTGAAGGCTGTGATCAGTCACCGAGTTGTACTTCAAAGCTTAGCACAGTGTTTTCCACAGCAAAGGTCGTCATTCAGTATTTATTGACATTAGCTTAGCCAGGTGTCACGGTGGGCACCTAGAGTCCCAGCTGCCTGGGAGGCTGAGACAAGGGGATCACTTGAACCCAGGAGTTTGAGCTTGCTGTGAGCTATGATGACAGAGCACCCTATCCCAGCACGACTGTGTCTCAAAAAAAAAAAAAAAAAAAAAAGACATCTATGAAATTGAATCTGGGCAGAGGAGATACGGAAAAAGCTCGGACGTAAAGGGCAAAAGCTGGGCTCGTGTATTATTGTTGACATTACTACTGAGCCCTGTAACATGATCCCAAATGGGCTTTGCCTCTGGTGCACAGGATGTCATCCTAATTAGAGTTTGCCTGCCAAGTGAGCACAGCCCGCATTGAGTTTCTGAGCACAATTAAGCCGGGAGTGACCTCAGTCCTGATGAAGATTGGTTTCCTCAGGCTCTTCCTTGATGAAGCATTTCATTTCCAGGTTATTCTTGGGGCTTTGCAGAGTATACAGACCACTCTCTAATCCTGGGCTTTGACCTCTGGTTTTTACAGATCAGGGCATTTAAAAATAAAAGATCTCTATTGATTCTTTCTTACCTTATAGATGGGAAGGTGACGTTCAGAAATGTTAAGTGACTTCCCTGAACCCTCATGGCTTGACAGTAAAGAGAGAGCTGGGCTTGTCATCTAGGTCCAGTCTGGGAATTCTCTAACCCACCTTGAATTTCCTATTCTCTGATGACCCCTGTCTGCCTTATAAGTTGTGGGAGTGAGGCAGTTGCACAGAATTCAGTTTGGGGGTGTTATAATTGCCTACCATTGCTTCTCATACTTTTCTGATGCAATGTTCTTTTGTTCCTTTGTCAAAAGCTACCTCCAAAGACTACAGGGGACTCTCTCTCTTAGCCATTTCGGCTGCTGCTCTGACTGCCTCTCAAGTACAGAACATTGTCTCACAGCTTGGATATGCAAGTGGGACAGGAAGGGAGGGAGAAAAGGAGCAGAAACAAAAATTGAGCAAGCGCCCAACTCTGTGCTGTGTACTGCAAACATGCTATTTAATTGTAATATGCTTAATTCTTATAAAAAAAAAAAAAAAAACCTTGCAACTCTTAGCTCCATTTCACAGATGAGGAAACCATCGTTCCCAGAGGTTGAACAAGTTGCTTCAGTGTCTGAGCCTAAAAGAGGTCACCCTGACATCAAGAGCCCTTGCTTGGTCTTTCTACTGTGCCCAGGGTCCTTCTTGGATTAACTGGGGGCTGCCAAACAAAAATCTTACCCTCACAGGCTGGCAAGGGTGCAGTCCACTGGCCAGAGCCGATGCACTGGAGTGTGTCTGAACTGCTCACATGGTAGCCAGGCTGGCACTGAAATTTACAGCTGGAGCCATATGCAAAGGCAGCCAATGGGTGAACACAGTCCATGGTTCCTTGTCTGGGGGCTTCCAGGGGCTGACACTGCACAGCTGGATAAAGAAGGAGAAAGGTATTAGGAAGGAGAAAAAAGCCTGCCCACAGCTGGAGACCTACAGTAGTACAGCTTCTGGGAATAGGGTTGAAACTAGGAAGAGGCCAGTGACCCATCCTCAGGGTCACCTGAATCCCTTAAAGATGCCGATTCCTCCAAGCTCCATCCAGTCTTAATGCCCTCTATTCACCATTCCTTGGTAAACCTGTCCTGGAGGTGTTCTAGAGTCTACTCACGGATGCCAGTGCCGTCCTTTCCCACCTTACATGAAACTTATGAATAAGGCCATTCTGAAACTGTGGATTGTGAGTTTGGGGGGAGGGAGGACTTTTACATTTTATTTATAGTAAATTCAGCCTTTTGTTTTTCTAAAGTTTGACACCGTTTTCTCGTCCCAGACTAACACAATCTAGCCGGGGGCAGCTGGAAGGAGAGTTAAATTTTGGCAATTCAGGCTGATCAGTTTTATCTACAGGCCCAGCAAGGACTGGGCACAGTAGACACTATACGTCCTGTACTACGGCCTGAAACCCACCTTTGCACACTGGTGCTGGGGCTGTCCACACCCCTGAGGCTGTGCATTGCACCATCTCTGGCCCGACTAATGCAAATCCCTCTTTACAACTGAAGCTGCAGCTGGACTGGTACTGAAACGCTTCTGCCGAGTGAAGACAGGTCATGCTTCCTTGTTCAGGAGGCTTGAGGGGAGAGCACTGCACAGCTGAAAAAAGAACCACAGGACCATTGTGTGAGTTCCAGCACCCTGGAAGCCTCTGGTTTCTACAGCAGCTACACCTTCCCCAAGAGGCCGGCAGGCTAACGTGCTCCATTGGTCAAATGAGACTGTTGGTTATGGTTTGAAAGATCCAAACACCTTTTCTTCTCATTTAGAGAAGCACAAGCAGAGTGATCAAATTCATAGTACTCAATCTGTGCGTCCTCCCTCATCAGTATACTCTGTTCACTCTGTAATTAAGAAAGGGAAAGGTCCCTTGGTAATGTTTTTGTCTGAGAATCAAGAAGGAAAGTCACTCTACAGATAGAAAATACCAGGAAAATCAAAATTAGTGTTCGTCTGATCGACAAGTACGGCGATAACCAGAATTTTCCATTTAACACAGATGCTCATTAGGCAGCTCGTCGGCCCTGTTTCCCCCACCCTCCAAATTTCAGTCAGCAGTGAGGCTGGAAAGAGTAAGGTCTACACACCTACACACTGCGGAGGCTTATTCGTCCAGGTTCCAGAAGCCAGGCAGCCCAGCTCGCTGGGCCCATTCAGCTGGAACCCTTCCCGGCAGTGGAAACTGCACCGTGAGTTGAAAGAGAAGCTTCCCAGGGGATGGCTGCAGTTCACAAGGACGCGTGGCGGGAGGTCAAATTCTCCACACTCCCTGACTGCGGGAGATAAAATATTGATTCTTTTTTCATTGCAGAGGTAAAGCAGCTGGAATTATTTGTGTAACCCTCTGCACTCTAACTTTGTAAGCTTCCAACCCGAGCTGTCCATCTTCACTTGGCTCCTTTGTCTTTGCTACCTCTCGGGAAATGTTCATTCTTTCACTGGTTTTTATGTCAAACGAGTAAACTAGTTGGCAAGAGTTCTCTTTGTTTGGCTTCCTTTGCTTTTCCCCTTTCTCTTTCAAAATTTAATGAGTTATTATTTTCTCTAAGAATAAAAATGTTTTTACGCAGAAGGTGGGTCTAGGGGCAATTTGGGTGGAGCAGACAGATGATAGGGGATGCCTAGGACTAGCCTGTGCTCACCGGGGTGTCCCCAATGTGATCTGCTTCCTGGCATCACATCTGGCATAAGACCAGTAACCCAAATAATACCGGCAGGAGGGAAGCCTCACCATATTCACATTCTGGCCCGTAGAAGCCAGGGTAGCAGGAGCAGGTGTGGTTCCCAATGGTCTCGATGCACTCCCCTTGGTTGCTGCAGGACGTGTCCTGGCAGGAGGCTGCATAGAAACAGAATCGTGAACATGTGCAGGAGATGTGAAGAAAACCTGGATTCTTATGTTAAGCCACTCTCAGCCTCTCTCAGGTAGGACTGAGCTTGCCAGACTACCGAGAACCACGGTGTCATCTGGAGAGGCAAGGTGTTCTGTGCAGAAGGCGTCACAGGAGTATTACACGGCTCTCATTTCACACTTGGTGTTTCCTAAGGGGGGCATTGCTATGTGTGGACACAGAGGGACAAATGGAGCCACTGATAGATGTGCAGACAAAGAACTTTCTCTACGTGGCACAAAATGCATTGTGGTTTTCTAACCAAGAGCTATGTTCGTTGTGTTGAATTATCATGGAAGTCCTCATGCCACATGTTACAGCATAGAGGTTAGGAAATAGATGTGGGGGTCTATGTGTTGCACAAATAGGATCTGAATCCTGGCATTTCTTCCTGCTCACTATGTGGCCGTAGCAAGTTACTTCTCTGAGCCCAGTTTATACAGTCAGGGCCCAGACTCTTCCACCTTTTGTTTGCTTTAAATCTGTGTCCACTGCCTGCCATATGGGCGTTTGGCAGAGGAGCCCCGGAACAAAATGAGATGTTAAGACCTGCTCCAAGTCAAGGACAAACAACCCTAAGAGGGGATTTTTCTCAAGCTAAACATGCCAGGCTTAGAGGGTACAGACCATGGCTCACCTGTGAGGACCTCCGCACTTAGTCCATGACCCTCAGTGACAATAGACAAAGGCTAGGGTTTCTTTCCTACCAAGAAGTCCTTGAGGGTATTTGTACTTGGTGGAGGATCAGGATTAGAGTGGATACTATGAAAGCACTGAGAATGTTTTCAGTGATTTTTTTTTGATGGAGTCATGGTTGGGGGCAAGGTCTGGGGCAGGACTGCTTTCTGGTGGTCATTCCCTCTGCACTAAGCCCTGGCCATGTGTTGGTCCACTTTGGGGTTTGTTACAAGAGGAAATCCCTATGTCACAGAGAGTGTCCTGCCAGTGATGACTACCGTTTCCTCTCAACTCTGAGATGAAATAATTCTATAAACCATGCGAACTTCTACAAGAGGAACTTCCCCCATGGCAGCCAGTGAGTTTGGTGCAGCGGCACTGAGACATGTGAAAGGGTTCCAGGTAAAGAGAAGATGCAGGAGGCAATAGCAGTTGGTAGATGCAAGATTGGCCACATCTTCCATCCTATCTACCTTGCCCTAACCTTGACCCCACTAGTACCTTACAGCCGTAACACTTCCCTGCCTTATGTTCTTGGAGCATGTAAGTTTTGCCTTGATTGTGGCTTTCTGGGAATATCAGAATTCTAAAATTTTTTTTTAAACCAGGCAATATTCTGTACTCTACCCCACTTTGGGGCTTCCAGGTGGGTTAGCAACTTGTCTATTCTTTTAGATGGATTTACAAGGAGGAGAATAATGATGATTCAGTGAACAAATCTCCTTTTTGATTATCTTGTTCTGAGGTCTAACAAAAATCCTGGCATTTAGAAAATTATTCCAAAAATACTTAATCTCTTGTAGCAGTACACTGGAGAAGTCTGTAATATGTATGTAATATGCCATGTGATATCAAAAGTAGTATTAACAATGGCTGGATACTTTCTGAAAAGCCCTAGTACATATTTATTTCTCATCTATTCCCACAGAGAATTGATGGTTCCCTCCAACCTTTACATTTTTGATGGCAAAATGCCAATAAACAGCAGCGGCTATCTAAAGTATTAACTTGGTAGGGAAGGAGCCCATCTGTGATCAGGTGAAATCACTCCAATTAGTGATGTCGGCCATCCTTGCAGCTTAGAGGAATGGCATCACTTATGACAGTTATTTTCAATCTCTTTTCTATCTTGACACTTTTTGGTAAGCTTTGTTGGGGAAGACTGCCTTGCAGAAATGGATGTTGAAGGTTGGGTGAGGAGACAGGAAATCAGTGGCATATTGAAACAGCTATTGGTAGTCAAGATAATCTGATAAAGGACAGTTCTAGAGAGGCAGCGCCTAGAAAGGGGTAAAGAGCCAGCCAGGAGAGCAGTCAGATGAACAATATACTGCCCATCCTGGTCGGTGGATAAGTGGTCATTAATTAATTAGTATATAAATATGTTATTTATAAAATGAGATGTGACTACATGACAGTGCGTTCATGCATGTGCTTTCCCTTAGCTAGGAGGTTTGGGTGAGGAGAGGGAAAATGTAGAAGGAGTAAGCTGCATATTCCATTCCAAATGTGTGTTGTTGAAGGAGTCCAAGTGGGAGTGTTTAAAATCTGAAGAATTCAGAACATACATAGCAAAGTGTGGCATGTGTAAGAAGATTTATCAAAGAAGGTCTAGAGTACTTAAGACTCATGTTCAGGACAATCCATACTCTCTCTAACCAAAGAGTCTGTGCACTGCAAGGTACAGAAGGGACCTTCAGATAGGAAGCAACATCAGAAAGATGGGATGAGCTCTGGCACCAGGCTCCTGACTCCAGGAGGACCAAGCTTTCAGGCATGTCTGCTTCCTCTGGACCTGGGGGAACCAAGAGTCAAATATACCCCCAAGATCTAACCTTCAGTTACTTCTTCCCTTTCCTGGCTCCACCACCACCACTGAAGTTCAAAGGATATGGACTTTGGATGTATTATTGTAGACAAACTATAAAGCATTTGCTATTCTTAGTTATGGACTCAAATTGTTTCATAAAAATGCAAAGGAAAGAATGGGAGGGCATAGATGGCTAAAAAACACCAATTTATAGTCAACCCAGGTTTGAAACTGGCCCCACCATCAACTAGTTTAGAATCTTGGGCAGATTCCTTAAAAGCTTCTGAGCCTTTTCCTCATCTGCAAAATGAGGATAATAGAAGGAACTGATTAATGATGTGGTCATAAAGACTAAATACAACTAATAGGAAGGGACAAATGACACATGCAGTGAATGAACTAATAACAATGCCTGGAACACACCAGCATTCAAGAGATACCAGTTACAGCTGTGTCCCCCAGGGGCCAGGGCTAGTCCCTCTCAGTTTGTACTTTCTCTTACAGGAGACCATCGTGGTAGAAAGAGGCCCCAGACCTGTAATTTAGGAGTCTGGTTTCCAGTCCTACCTTTGCTTGTCCTGCTCTACATGCAAAGTTTGGAGAAACCAAAATTTCTTGACTGTTCATCAGTTACAAGATGAGAGGGGTGAGCCAGATGATATTAAATTCCCTGTGAGTTCAAACAGTCATTCTTTTCTAATCTTGGTCTTATATTCTTCAAGATACTCACTAGTGCTAATTATTTAACAGTTTACTCTTGATTTCATGTCCCTGCCTTGGTGACTCCATGATATTGACCTAGCAGTTACAGAGGGCACCCAGGGAAGGTGTTTCTGTTTTTATTTTATTTTATCATTTTTTTTTTTTTGAGGCAAAGTCTCATTCTGTCAACCTGGGTTAAGTGCTGTGATGTCATAGCCCACAGCAACCTCAAACTCCTGGGTTCGAGTGATCATCTTGCCTCAGCATCCTGAGTTGTTGGGACTACAGGTGCCAGCCATATACCTGGCTAGTTTTTCTATTTTTAGTAGAGATGGGTTCTCCACTCTTGGTCAGGCTGGTCTCGAACTCCTGAGCTCAGGCAGTCCACCCTCTTGGGCCTCCCACAGTGCTAGAATTACAGGCATGAGCCACATGCTAGCTTTGTTTTCATTTTAAATCCTCAAATTTCAAAGAGAGGAGACCTACCTTTGTAGCACAGGGCCAGCTTTCTTTTCCAGCAAGGCTCATCGTTCCACTTGCCGGGGGCTGACTCACTCTTAATGTACATCTCCACACAGTCTTGGTTGTTTTTCTTGTTGTTGGGCTCATTGTCGGCCCAGTTCTCCGCCTCTGGGGTGAGAGTCTTATTGGTTCCCACCCAGGTCCACTTATTATTGATCTTTCGGATCCCAATCCAGTAATAAGAGCTGTAGTAGGGGATGACATCATTGAGGTAGGCTATCTCATTTTTATTCTGGATGGCCACTAAATCTGTGTATTCCTTCTTGCAGAATAGCCTGGAAAAATTCCATGAGTATGCTTTCGTACTGTAATGATAGGTCCACGCTTCTACTTCTTTCTGATTTGTTAGTTCTAGATTAAAGGAGAGCAAATGTCAGGTTGAGGAGGCTGTGATCAAATCAAGTACACTTCCGCATAGTCAGATGAGCCTTTGACCAGAAGATGAATACCGCAAACGTGACTATTTTATGTCTAATGTGGTTGTTTGAAGGGGAAAGAGTGATTTCCACCTTTCACTTGAAAGTGTACATGAAGTCAGAATAGAAAAAACAAATGCCCTCTTCTGAGGATACTTGGTGTTAAAGATTTGGAATCATGAGATATCAGAGTTAGAATGGACCTCGGAGGTCATGGAATTTGCTCCTCTTCTTTTATAAGTGAAGGAGACATATTTGGTAATTTGCCCAAGGCCAAATTAAGTAACACACAAAGTGTCTTAAGGACAGGTTCTGTCCCTTCATGTGGCAAGTTAAGATGCTTTATGACCTAGGGCCGACCCATTGGCCCCGCCGCATTGCCTGCTATGTTTGCCCCCTTCGCAAAGCAGAACTCCCAGTTGTGTGTCTTTGCACATTCTCTCTGTGCTATCCTGGCTGCCCTCCCCTCCCATGCCTGGTAAACTTGATTCCCCTGCTTTCCATGACTTCTCCTGGTAGGCTCAGTGTTCTCTCCTCCAGGCCCCTGTGCACCTGGTCCCCACCTCCACCACCTTAATTACCATGTGCCATGATGTCTACCTCTGCTAGATTGTGAATCCCTGATTTTTCTATTTTTACCTCTCGATCCTTAGCACCAAGCATAGAGTTTAACACCTAATAGACATTCGGTAAATGCTTAACTGAATGAAAGCCAGGATTAGAAATCTGATATCTTGCCGTGCAATTTTATATTCATTCCATTCTCCTTGATCAATTATTCTGCTTCCTCCACTTCTGCTTTCTCACTCATTAAGATAGAGCACAAACAGCCCTTCTTTATAAGTGTCTGCAATATCAAATGAAATTAAAAAAATTGCCCTTCAAAAGTATAAAGATGCTATGATGCAAATTATTGTTATCATAACCTCTAGGAGTTCACCCGGGGCAGAGGAGGCCAGTTCCCACATGGAGAGGTGTACAATGCAAGTAATCAGGCCTGGAAATGGCTCCCTTTCCTGTTTATAAAGGCCTGTTTCTATTCAACCCTCTCCTCTGCAGCCTGCACGAGGGCCGACTGTGTTTGTACCTCCCTCACTGACACCTCTATAGCATTGTTTTGCCTTACTTTATTCTGATATAGCCAGTGCTGCATTGTGACTTTCTCGAACCCTAGGCAATTTTATCTTTGTAGGACTCTTTCTCCATAATAATGTATTTAAAACTATTTTTTGCAAATGCTTTGGTATAAAGACAAATCTATTACTATATGTCTCAAACATTTTCTTTTACTTCAAAGAAAATTATTATAAAAGAAATTCAACCATTTTTGTGAGTCCCTGAAATTATGGGCCCTGTGCCTAACTAATAAATTGGCCCTGAATGTATCAGTTTAAGTTCTTTCTGAAGCCTTTTCTACCGCTATGATGGTATTGTGTACATTTTTCTTCCAGCAATCTGGGCTTGGACTGTTTTCCTATGCTTCCCACAACAGGGTACAATTCTTAACTTCTCCCAATGAGCTCTGGGCTCTACCCTAATTATACAGGGCTAAGTGAAGGGTTAGCATAAAGTTTACCAGAGATCAGGGCACTGAAGCAAAGGAGTTGGGTAGCACCAATGACAACTTGCTGGAATCTCTGGTTCCAGATGGCTTTGAAGCAGCTGGCCTGTAACAAGAAAGAAACAACAACAACAGCAACAACAAAATTCCTTTTAGCATCCATATACCACCAACATGGCCAAAAAGATCCTGGTTGATGACTATGTTGAGTTATAATTCTGCCTATTTCCACTGGGAGGATAGCTCAAGCCCTCCACCTCCTTCTTGCTCCTTACCCCTCTGCTTCTGAGTCCTACTCTAGATGGACACTGTCACTGAGGGCAGAGTTCATTTCTTCATTCATTGAACAAATATCTATTGGGTACGTTGTGCCACCAATAGTTTTTTTAAGATATATTTTTAATATGTATGTAAGAAAAAATACTAACACATGAAAAAAAAATACACATGAATATGACTGCCGTTATTATGCAATAATCTCCTTTTAAAAACTGGCATATCATACCCAATAATAATTAAAAGTTCCATGACTGTCACTAAAAGTTACTACAGAACTTAAGCGGATATAATTCAGGACCAATTTATCTGTTAGGGATAGGCCTATGATACTTTCAGAGACTCACAAAAATAGTTGAATTTCTTTTATAATAATTTTCTTTGAGGTCAAAGAAAATGTTTTAATACCTGAGAACTCCCTGACTCACACAAATACTGTCTAACCTACACTCTGTTTCCTGGAGTACCAATAATTATGCTATATTGTGTAATACATCTATTTGGTAATATTGATCTATATTTTATCTTATTGTCTTTCCATTTCAGCATTAATTGGTAATACTATTTAGTTTAGTTTTTTTTTTTTTTTTTTTTTGCAGTTTTTGGCCAGGGCTGGGTTTGAACCCACTACCTCTGGTATATGGGGCCAGCACCCTACTCCTTGAGCCACAGGCACCACTCCCATTTAGTATTTCTTAATATATACAATAAACATATTCACCTTGGATCTATAACAACTATTATTTTTTGTGAGCTCCCTTCTGTTGGAATTTAGTCAAATCTATGAATATTTAAAATGTCTTGGGTTTTTTGTTTGTTTTGTTCTGTTTGGGTTTTTTCCTTTTTTGTGTTTTTAAGACAGAGTCTCATTCTGTGGCTCTGGGGTTGAGTGCTGTGTCATCATCATAGCTCACAGCAACCTCAAACTCCTGGGCTCAAGTGATCCTCTTGCCTCAGCTTCCTGAGTAGCTGGGACTACAGGCACCTGCTATGACAGCTGGCTAATTTTCCTATTTTTAGTAGTGCCAAGCTCTGGTCTTACTCTTGCTCAGGCTGGCCTCAAACCCCTGAGATCAAGCAGTCCACCCTCTTCAGCCTGCCAGAGTGGAGGGTGAGTCACCACCCCTGGTCCATTTGAAATGTCTTTAGACAAATAAATTCTAGAAATGCCCATCTTGTCCAACTTCTTTATGTTGCACTTCAAAAAAACTGAAGCTTAAAGCAGGCAGAATGGGGACTGAAGACCCCACTCTTGGCAAGGGAAAACACCCCCAGAAAAAGGGGAAAATAAAAAAATAAGCTGAGCAAGGCAGAACAAAGAAAAGTCAGCTAGTTTTCCTTAAAACCAGCCACTGCTAAATTTCTTATCTGAGCAGTTTCCAGGAAGCCTGGCCCTTAAGGAATTCAGCTTGCTGTTACCCCTGCTGGGTCTGTGAACACTCTGAAGATATAATGGCCGCAGCGAATGCTGTGTGCAAGGCCTAGCAAGAAACATTAACTAGGCCATCTCCTGCCCAGTCAACAGCCAAAGCAAATATCCATTGTGGAGATTTGTATTATGGCTGGAGCAGAGATCAAGGGAACAGCTTGAGCCCTTACATATGGATAAGAGAGCTCATATCCCTTATCACCAAGGAAGACCCTCTGTGGTAGTGATGAGAGGAAAATTCTTTTTTTCTCACCAATTCTTCAGAGGAAATTGACACCAGTGGTGGTTTACTGCACAGTGAACTAACGGGTATTAACAACCTCCCCCCCAGGGAATCTGCATGTGTGACCACAGACAGGAGGCTGCCCCCACACAAAGCTCAGGTTTCAGATTTCTCAAAACTGCTCATAACCTTAAAGTTAATGACTATAGAAACCATAAGAGCTGATATGCTTGCTCAGAGAAACTGCTGACATCTTTGTTCCCTTCCTCAGCTTACCTTCTGGACTAATGAGCAAATAGCCTTCAATAAAAGCTGAGTGGAACAAACACTTGGGGCCACTTGCTAGAACCCCATAAATAGGTGGTGATCCCCTATGCTTCCCACCTTTGACAATTCTATTCTGTGCGTCTGTCTCTTTGTCTCTCATCATGTCTAACTTTACATTTCTTAAGCTGACTGCTGCCACATCCACAGGTCTTAACAGACCTTGCCCCCAGTATGGGACCCTGGCAGCTTACAGCCTCTAAATAACATGTTCAGAATGACAGCAGCACAGCCTGGTTCTGGAACAAGAGTTCTTTCCATTCTACCTTCTTACCTTCCAGGCTCCAAGTGCAGGCTGTGTTGCTCATGACCACGTCTAGCTGCTGCACCTGTTCCCCTCTGAAGCCACCCCAATGTTACCACCAACATGAAAACAGTGCACCTGCCATGCAACTGCGGCTTTGCCACTCCTCCAACCAGGTCACCACCTAAAACCCCTTCTATATGAAAATTCTGAATTGTCTCAATGAGAGTGCATGGGACGGTATGGGGTGATACATGTGCACTTGTGTGTGTGCACATGTACTACTCAATACTGATTACTGACCAGATACTGGCAAAGACACAGCTCAAATTAGTAAGTTTCTCAGATAGTGGGAGAAGCCTGGCATTCTTCCATCTAGCAGTTTCTTTGAATATTGGCTTTGATAAGTAGGCATATTTTGTGTTCTTATAACCTATGACATAAATCAGCTGCCTTTTGCAGGAACTATGATTAAACACTGAAAGCATCATAATATTGTGATTTATGGTGCTGTTTATCTGTACAGGAAGTAGGTTGACAATCCCTTAGTGGGGACTTCACCCCATTGTTCTCTCTGCATTGTGCTGTATCATCAGCTAATATTACTACCACATTTCTATTCAATACTCAGAAAGTACTATCCCAAGTGATGGAGCAGAAATCCTCAAACCAGGATGTGTTTGGTGTCCAACGAGAATGTTAATTAAATCTATATTCAGATTCTCAACTTTCACATATATACTTTCCTAAAATCTGGCTGACTAAAATCACAACCTTCTCCTACTTGACAAAAGAAAATCATACTATTGGGTGGCGCCTGTGGCTCAAAGGAGTAGGGCGCCGGCCCCATATGCCGGAGGTGGCAGGTTCAAACCCAGCCCCGGCCAAAAAAAAAAAAAGAAAAAAAGAAAATCATACTCTTGTTTATTATGGAGATTTGCCCCAACCCTAAAGCACACTGGTATACCACAGACAATTCAAAATACTGGTATAGCTATTAATAATTGACTGTTTCAAATGATAGTGTAACAGGTCCTTTTTTAAGTACAGTGATTTTCATTTCTTTCCTTTTGTCAATTTTGAGACAGGACTCAAGTTGTCAATTTTGATTAAATTTTGATGATAAATCACTATAAAATTTGGGGCATATGACTTAGAAGGAGTTCACAGAATTGAGAGACATTGCTAAAATAAAACTTGCATTTCCATTTACTTAACCTCAAGAATGAAGTTCCTGAGTGTTTAAGATTGGTGAACTTGTTTTGTTGATAAACAATATTCGTTCATGGACATATGAATGAATAGGGGAAGAGACCCTCCTTTCATTTAGAGATGCATCTTCAATTGCATATTAAATATGAAAGTTTCAGTTACTTATCAAAACTTGTAGTTAATGTATGATAGTTTTTATACTAAAAGTAGTTGTTATGCTAACTCAATCAAAAAGAAAATAATTTTTAACACATAGAGACTTATGGTTTCAGAAAATTAAAATCTTTTAAATTATAGGCCAGGTGTGGTGGCTCACACCTTATAATCCTAGCACTCTAGGAGACTGAGGTGGGTGGATTGCCCTGAGCTCAGAGGTTTGAGACCAGCCTGAGCCAGAGTGAGACCCCCGCCTCTACAAAAAAAAAAAAGCTAGGTGTTGTGGCGGGTACCTGTAGCTCCAGTTACTTGGGAGGCTAAGGCAAGAGAATCACTTCAGCCCAAGAGTTGGAGGTTGCTGTGAGCCATGATGACATGGCATTCTACTGAGGGCCACAAAGTGAGACTCTGTCTCAAAAAAAAACATAAATAGATAAATAAAAGGAGAAAAAGAAAATTAAAAAGAAAACTTCAAACTAAGATGATTGAAAGCCAATTGAAAGCAAAATTTAAAAAAATTAAATTATAATTTATTTTTATTTTTGCAAAGAAGTATGACAGGGTAATGAAGAAGAGACTTTAAACTTAAAAATGTATTATATGAGGTTAAAATTATGTAGGGGAAGTAGAATACAAATAAGTACTAAGGGAGAGAAAATGAATAATGTAAAATTGCTTATTAAAAGCTTGCTTATAGTTTCTTTTGGTGATGAGGATTATCAGATTATGCTAGTATTTAATTCCATTGCATAAAGTTTAAGAAATTATATTACAGTTTTTTTTAAAAAGGTCAATCTTTATAATACATTGGAAATTCAATCCTTTTGTCTAAAATTTGTGATGAAAAATTTTAGCTTTCTATTTAGAAAGGTGTGAGAAGTTCCTTAGTCTTCTAGAATATTTTTAGAGATACAGAAGCAAAAATATTGCTGCTGGAGAGCACAGTGACGAAGGGACCCCAGTGTTTGCCTTTGAACCTGTGCTGGGTTTCTACTCAGGCGGATAGGAGGAATGCAGTGATTTTAAATTTAGTGGTACTCTTCCTGTGTACCTAGGAAGTGGTTTTCTCCCTGAATGAATTATTTCTAGGGGTTTCTCTGGCTTTGGGGCCAGCTCAGGGGGGAGTGTGGGGAGGGTGAGGAGGTGAGGCTCCTGAACCTCATTACCATGCCCAATGTTACTCACCATTTCCTGTTTTGACTTGTTTAAACTTTAGTTAAGATTTGATTTAAACAAAATTTCCTCAGCAAGCTGGTTTCAAACATTTTAAGGTTTTAGAGGACTGATAGGTGTTTTTGATCATCCCCTGCTTTAACTTGA